TATTCTTATGTTAATCCCCATACATTACATCATTAGTTCTAGATGAAGTGTTCCATGATTCATTGTTTGTGCATAACACCCAGTGCTCCATGCAGTGTCATTTACTTTTAAGGAGATTATCATACACATCCCTTTGCTCCTTTGTATCTTTAAAATTCCTGGCTATTTTACATTTTTGCTGCAATTTTGGTGAGTAGTTTGTTTTATTAATTATCTAAAGAAAAAAAAGTGCTTAGTTCCTTTTCCCCTTTTTAATATTTTAACATTCAAATATGAGAAAATCTGGGGCACCTGGGTGGCTCAGTTCATTAAGTGTCTGCCTTTGGCTCAGGTCACCCTGGGATCCAGTCCCACATCGGGGTCCCTGCTCGGCATGAATGTTGCGTCTCCCTCTCCTTCTGCCCCTCCCCCCTGCTCCTGTTCTCTCTCTTGCACTCTCTCTCAAATAAATAAATAAAATCTTAAAAAAACCCACAAATATGAGAAAATCTATATCCAGCAACCAGAGGTTCTAAACTGGTAGTCTGCTAACAGACCTGTTTTCCAGCACTGTGGTTTAATAAAAAATTTAAATTGATTGCCTTTAGGTCAAGTATGCACTTTCCAGGCCACATCTTTTATTCATTTATTACTTTATTTTTTACTATTTTATTACTTTATTTTTTATTATGTTACTATTCATAACCTATTCATTTAGGTTACCCACCTGATCCTTGAAGTTATAGGCCTTTGTGCCCTCTGCCATTACTCACCACTATATTTTTCTCCTTTTACTGGAAGTCTCTAGTAATACGATCTTTACTGGATCATGTTTGGGTCTCCATAATTCTGAAATTATTTCTATTTTTAGAACTTAACTCTAAGACTTAATATAGTTATGAATATTAACTTAATAAGCAGATAGTTAAGAGGTGTGAAAAAAGGTCAAATACTGCTCTATATAATATTGTGGCTTCTGGTTATTAGATTGCCATTGCCACAATAATTTAAGAGAGAAATGGGGTAAACATTGTATGTTAAGAATTTCATTTCATTAATATAATGTTTGAAACAATCTGCAATGATGACAGGATGAATAATTTAAGAATCTTCATGGGAGAGCTTCAATATTGGGGGACAAAAATCTCCAATGCAACAACAATTTTTTTCCTTTTGGTTTTTATTCTTCCTGTTAGAAAAAAAAAATCACTTAAACATTAAAGCTATATGAAAAATTCAAAACCATTTCTAAATATATCTATAGAATCAAGCTTAATAGGAAACACTGAAATGAAAACGTCTCAATAAAACACCATTAAACACTAGAGAACTCTTGACAATAATCCTCAAAGCTTTATATGTTTGGACACAAAATCTGTTCTTATATGTTACACTGTAAAGTCTTACTATCCATATCACTGCACAAGAATACTGAGGAAATGAAAATATTTCTCATGAAAGTACTCACATTCCTGCTTAAAGGTAAAATATTCAGTAAGGTGTCTGCATTCATGATTGCCTCTCAGAAGAAATAATGTGCTTGGGTACAGAATCTTCAGGACCCATAAATATAAGACACACTGCAAAAGAAAACATTTTGAATGAATTTATCTTTTATTTTTATTTCACTAAGTTGTTTCATATTTGCTCCTTTTCTCTAACCCTATTGTCCTTACAATCTCTATTACTCTTTACTACCTTTTTCTCTTTGTCCTTTACTAAAATATAAGCTCCATGAAATCAGGGACTTTGTCATCTTAGTCACTTCTCATCCTCCACTCCTAGAAAAGTACCTAGCAAACAGTAGAAAAGTAATAAATATTTGTTGAATGAATGAGTCAAACAATTTATTTAATTACTTTATATTTACAGATTGTTTGCTATAAAAACAATTAGCAGATTGGTACCCTTCTTAGGTATATCAATAAATAAAATAATGTCAAAAATAATAGCATGGACCATTTATTGAGTACTTACAATGTATCAAGTGCCATGTTTTTAATACTCCTTGTTTATTCCTCAAACAACCCTATGAAGTATGTAATATTATCTCTATTTTACAAACAAGGGAACTGAAGCAAAGAGTTCAAGTAACTTGTTTGAAATCACAGAATTTTTAAGTAATGGAGACAGGATTCTGATCCTCTGATCTTAAGCATTATGCCACGCTGCCTTATGAAGGCAATAGGATGTTTTACGTTTATTTTGTTGGTTATGCTCGTTGCCGTACATGAGGTAGGTGCTTATTACCTAAACTGATTCAAAGAAAGTATAATTTTTTAAATCAGAAGAATATTAAAGCAAACAGTGTAGCAGATGCTCTTCTCTAAATAGATTTATATTATTTTTTTAAGATTTATTTTTAAGCAATCTCTATACCCAACATGGGGCTCAAACTCACAACCCCAAGATCAAGAATCACATGCTCTACCAACTGAGCCAGCCAGGTACCCCTCTAAATAGATTTAACATAAGAAACTCACATTTTACTTATTTGGTTAAAAAAAAAGGAAATCGGGGCACCTGGGTGGCTCAGTCAGTTAAGCGTCTGACTCTTTATTTCAGCTCAGGTCGAGATCTCAGGGTCATGGGATCGATGAGCCCCAAGTTGGACTCCACGCCCAGCATGGACTCTGCTCAGGATTCTCTGTCTCTGCCCCTCCCCCTACTCGTGCCTGTGCTCTCTCTCTCTCAATAAAGAAATAAAATCTTAAAAAAAAAAAAAAAGGAAAGATACTTCATATGAAAATTAGCTTGGTTTGCAGAATTATATACAAAAAGAAAACAAACTTTATTTTTAACAAGTTAAGATATATTAAAATGTGTAACTATTCACACCTTCATTTTATTCATAAGGAAAAAAAGAAATTAAGTCAGGGAAATACTTATTAAACTCTGCCTCTCTTTTTTGCTTATTTTGACTCTTTATTATTTTCCTTTTGTAACAATAAAATCTATTAAAAGAGTCAGCCATGGGGTGCCTAGGTGGCTCAGTCATTAAGCGTCTGGCTCAGGTCATGATCCCAGGGTCCTAGGATCAAGCCCCGCATTAGGCTCCCTGCTGGGCAGGAAGCCTGTTTCTCCCTCTCCCACTCCCCCTGCTTGTGTTCCCTCTCTCGCTGTGTCTCTCTCTGTCAAATAAATAAATAAGATCTTTAAAAAAAAAGATATTAAAAGAGTCAGCCACAAAACACTCCAAGGACATACACACCAATATGCTTAGTTACCAATAAGCTTCCTAAAATTGTTCATTTTATTGTTTTTGTCAAAGCCCCCTATCTTTTTTGTTAAGAAGGTCCATTATTCTGGTTTCCTTGAAGCTTTGAGGAAAGTTTGAGGTGAGTAATGATGAAACTATGAATAAAGGAAGAACAACTCAGAGGTAACAAAATTCCTTAGGGAATTTTAAGTGCAGAGCCCTGAACTCCTTTCCTCACTATGAATCCTAGCATACCTGAGAAAGGAGGTTAAAAATACTGGAGAAGGGGATATAAATAACAGGAACCAGCTGGAAATTCACCAAGTAAAGATTCAATTATCTACTGGGAAAGGTGGTTAAGAGTACAGGCTAAGGAGGTGCCTGGATGGCTCAGTCGGTTAAGTGACTGACTCCTGATTTCAGCTCAGGTCATGATCTCAGGGTCATGAGATGAAACCCCCCATCAGGCTCCATGCTCAGTGTGGAGTCTGCTGGAGATCCTCTCTCTCCCTTTCCCTCTGCCCTCCCCCTTGTTTGCTCTCTCTCTAAAAATAAAAATAAATCTTAAAAAAAAAAAAAAAAGAGTACAGGCTTAGAATAAGACCGGCTGCACTGCTTACTAAAAATGTGTCTTTGGGGAAGCTATTTAACTTCTCCAAGCCTCAGTTTCCTCATCTATAAAATGGATAAAATAACAGTACTTACCTCATAATGTTGTGAAGATTTAATTAATCAATGTGTGTTAAGTGCTTAGAATATGCTTGGAACATAGTAAATACTCAACACATGTATCTATTAGTAGAGCTTTTATCCAGCAATTTTACCTCCAAGAATCTGCCCCACAGAAATAATTTAGCAAATATGCAAAGATGTATAAATAACCTTACTCACTGAAGCATAATTGTAATGCCAAAAAATTAAGAACACCTTAAGTGTCTAACAATAATTAACTGTGGTTTGTTTATTCAATAGAATACAATGTGGCTATTAAAAATGCTATAAATTTATATATATACTGACCTGGAAGGACATCACAGTATAGGGATATATGAAAAAAAGCAAGTTATAGAACAACATTATAATACGGCCACATTTTCATTTAAAAAAAGAGAAATGCATATTATTAGAAAATGCAAATAGTTCTATATTTACCTTATTTTATTTATATTATTAGAGAAATACAAGGAGCAAAAAGAACCATGTGCTGTTAAGTAATGATCAACAGGTCATTTTAATGCCTCTTAAGTTTTTTTAAAAGAAATGAATACTTTCACAACACACAAAGACTTGGGTCTTAATAGCTACAGAAGGTGGATAGAAGCAGTAGGGTTTAAGCCATAAAAGCATTACAGTATGTTTTATGTAATCAGAGAAAATTCAATTAATCTTTTTTTCACATGGGGTAATGCCTTTAGGGGCAAGAGAGATAAATAGCACTAGCTCCTTAGGGCCACTAGATAACAGGACAATAAAGAACCCTCAGTTTACGTGTAATTTCCACTGGGAAAAATGGCAATTATAATTGCATAAACAGAGTAATACAAAGAAAATAAAATAGTTTGAAAGGCAGAAGAGAATAAGTAGTAGTTTTACCTAAAAACTTCAGAATAGCAGAGGTATTAAAAAGAACCCAATATAGGTACTTTAAGGAACTTATTTTACTAGGAATTAATGGAAATCATCTATGGTTAACACTTAAAAGCAAATCAAATGATAGTATATGATTATTACCTCTATACTAAAATAACCTCTGTCCACATAATCACCAAGAAAAAGGTATCGTGTATTAGCAGGTGATCCTCCTACTTCAAAAAGTTTCATCAGATCAAAAAATTGGCCATGGATGTCACCACACACTGAAACAAGAAGATTATTAGATATGAAAAAAAACCTCTGAAATAACAAATTTTACTTAAATTCTAATTTCTTTTACATAATAATGTAAATTCTATCAAGAAAGGTCTTGGGAGGACGTTAGAATCTATGAAGAGTCGTAATAGGGATGATGTGTACCCAAGTGTTCACATGTGCTCAAGATCTAAAACAAGATATAACAAAAATAATGAAATTTGTAGTCAGTGACAAAATTTTCACCTAAATTTATAAAGCTCCTCTTTAGGAAGCCAAGCATAGGTCTTAGGATTACAAAAATTATAATGGTGGCAGTAAAATCTCCATCCTAATGCAATACCTTCTACTGACTGCTATGTTGACACTGAGGTATTTGCCCCTAATAATTGAAAGCAAAGTAAATAAGAATTTGTTGAATCAAATTGAATTATGGCCAACACAACTGATGAAACCTTCACAAAAGTGTATTAGACCAACTTCTGCACTCAGGTTACTTAAGATCATGTTTATTCACTGAAAATAGGCAAACCCCCCAAAAATTACAAAAAATAAATTCAAGATAATGTCCCTGTAATATTATTTTAGTATACCATAGATTGAAGAATAAACAGCCTTAAATCCAAGCAACTAATGGTATAATTAAAAAAATAATATCCAAAACATAAACAAGTGTACCTGTAATTGGAGCCTCTACTTCTATCATGGTTTTCTCTCTCCGAAGGATGGCAGCACCCTCATTGATAATTCTAAGTGCAATTTCTTCATCTACCCGACCTTCTTTTACTAAGTGGTTCTTCAGAACATCAACCCTGGGTATCCCATCCATATCAAATACTTCTTCAGATGTCAAGCGATGTGTTGGGGGAAAAGGTACAGCTGCAATTTTTTTAATAAAAAATAAATCACTATTAATACTGTAACATAAAAACTAATCAATGGATCTAGGTAAATAAGAGTAAAACCTGAAAAGCTGGAGTTTTTATTTCTTCTTTATTTATTGGATAGAGGTGTTAATATTTTTAAAGGGTTTTCTAAAAAGAGTAATCAAATTATACTTTTATTAATCTATATATAATAACATGTTCTTTGTTGAAAATTATTAGAGAAATGAACTACCTCAAAAATTAAAAGCTCTTTCAGGATAACTAAAGTTTTCTTTAAGCCATAACATTTTTTGGCAGAACTTGCAAATCATATTATACACTCTTTACCTTAATGAAGTACAATAAATGTAAACTTATTACCACATAAGCCTGAATAGAAAGAAATCCCAAAGATAAGGTGAACTACCATGTTTCTAAGAAAGTTAAATGCAATGTTTTCTGGCCAACTTGAAAAAAAACTTTTAGAGATATAGATAAAACAGTCAAATACTTAAACAATTTAAATTAATTTAAATGCACATATACATTTAAAAAGCATTAATATATCATGATAATTTTGAAATACTGCTTTTTCTCCTACCTCCATGTTTCACAAAACACTTTCATTCAAAATCTTTATGCACATCTTTGACATCAGTGTATTCCTTATCACTGGAGCCATTTCTGAGTCATCTAACACTCTTTTCAAAGGCAGATCATCTTCACTTCCATTTAAGTTGTTTGATACAGCACTTTTTGAATATACATAAAATGCTATCATTGCAAATTTATCCTAAGCCACAGTTCCAATATGTATTAATTACCAACTGTACTCTTTAAAACTGATATTTGTTAAATGGAATAGAAAACTGTAAGGCCTATTTTCAATAGTATCTAGCACAATTTTGAGGTCATATACATAGAAAAAATTACTATATATCTGTTAAAATTAGATTCCTTTTTCTCTGACTACAACATTCAAAATCAGTTTGAAGTAGTTTTAGGCTCTTTACCAAACAGTACTTTGTTTTTCAAAATAAAGAAAACAATAGAGAAATTTATAATAAGAGTTTATATATAGACTCAAATTAAGGCAGCTCTTTTATGAAATAAAAATTGTTTTAGAAAAAACTCACTTTATATTCAGGTACACAGTATATAGTATTTTTTGATGTTTCAGAATCATCATTGTAATGATCAATTATATAGAAGCCTGGAAATGTATAGGACCAACTGATTCTTCACATTTCAACTTAAACAAAAAAACTAAAAACAGGAGCCTGGGTTAGAATTAGATCAATGACCTGAGAAAGAATAATAAATAACCATGTTCTATTTTACCAGGAAAACAAATTAGGAAGAACTCAATACTTTAGAAGTGAGATGAGAACTAAGGCAGAAGGATGTCAACCAATTCTAAAAGGCTTTGAAATCGCCAATCCCTCTTGCTTTGACACTTAGTAAAATAAAATTTGAACTTCCTTATCTTCTCTTCATTAGAACATATTAATTCCCACTACTTTTCACTTTCAGAACAAAGCATTAAAATACATTTTGTCCCCCCAAATATATTGTCTAGATTCTAATAAAAAAAAAAAAACCTCTGTTAAAGTATGTTTTTCTCTAGTTAAAGATTAAACAAATCAAATTTGCCCCATCAGTAAACCAACTGTTTAAAAACTACAGATTTTAATAACTGATTACTAAATAAATCACAAGTTACTTTGGGACATTATAAAAATGAAAAGTTTAAATATCTCTTAAGTACAAACTTTTGAGATTAAGATGAAATCATATCTTTCTCATCAGGCCAAGAGAATTTTTTTTATCACTCTACTCAGGAAAACAGATACTGTTTAAGAGGCTGCATTCAAGATTATGTACACTTTTTAATAATCAAGAACATAATTCCACTACTGGCTGAATTCTATTCACAATACACAACTTCCTAAAAACCCAACTGGAAGACCATTCCCCATCACCTCAACTCAATCAGTCATCCGTGTTACTGCATTGTTTTCATGCATATTGTGAATGTTCCACTGCAATTCACACTGAGGTACTGCCCCCTCTTTAACCAACTGCCAGAATGTCTTTATTCATCTGAAAAAAAGTATACATTGCCTTCATGCTCATGGGTAAGTCATCTACAGACCTATGCTTTTCCACTTCTTTTTCAACTCAAGACTTGCTTTTTTTTTTTAAGATTTTATTTATTTATTTGACAGAGAGAGACACAGCGAGAGAGGGAACACAAGCAGGGGGAGTGGGAGAGGGAGAAGCAGGCTTC